GTGCATGTACTGCACTGTGTACAGAACACAGTACCGTACATGCACAGCTCCACGTGCATGTACTGCACTGTGTACAGTACACAGTACCGTACATGCACAGCCCCACGTGCATGTACTGCACTGTGTACAGTACACAGTACAGTACATGCACAGCTCCACGTGCATGTACTGCACTGTGTACAGTACACAGTACCGTACATGCACAGCTCCACGTGCATGTACTGCACTGTGTACAGAACACAGTACCGTACATGCACAGCTCCACGTGCATGTACTGCACTGTGTACAGAACACAGTACCGTACATGCACAGCTCCACGTGCATGTACTGCACTGTGTACAGAACACAGTACCGTACATGCACAGCTCCACGTGCATGTACTGCACTGTGTACAGAACACAGTACCGTACATGCACAGCTCCACGTGCATGTACTGCACTGTGTACAGTACACAGTACAGTACATGCACAGCTCCACGTGCATGTACTGCACTGTGTACAGAACACAGTACCGTACATGCACAGCTCCACGTGCATGTACTGCACTGTGTACAGAACACAGTACCGTACATGCACAGCTCCACGTGCATGTACTGCACTGTGTACAGAACACAGTACCGTACATGCACAGCTCCACGTGCATGTACTGCACTGTGTACAGTACACAGTACAGTACATGCACAGCTCCACGTGCATGTACTGTACTGTGTACAGAACACAGTACAGTACATGCACAGCTCCACGTGCATGTACTGCACTGTGTACAGAACACAGTACCGTACATGCACAGCTCCACGTGCATGTACTGCACTGTGTACAGAACACAGTACCGTACATGCACAGCTCCACGTGCATGTACTGCACTGTGTACAGTACACAGTACAGTACATGCACAGCTCCACGTGCATGTACTGCACTGTGTACAGAACACAGTACCGTACATGCACAGCTCCACGTGCATGTACTGCACTGTGTACAGAACACAGTACCGTACATGCACAGCTCCACGTGCATGTACTGCACTGTGTACAGAACACAGTACCGTACATGCACAGCTCCACGTGCATGTACTGCACTGTGTACAGTACACAGTACAGTACATGCACAGCTCCACGTGCATGTACTGTACTGTGTACAGAACACAGTACAGTACATGCACAGCTCCACGTGCATGTACTGCACTGTGTACAGAACACAGTACCGTACATGCACAGCTCCACGTGCATGTACTGCACTGTGTACAGAACACAGTACCGTACATGCACAGCTCCACGTGCATGTACTGCACTGTGTACAGAACACAGTACCGTACATGCACAGCTCCACGTGCATGTACTGCACTGTGTACAGAACACAGTACCGTACATGCACAGCTCCACGTGCATGTACTGCACTGTGTACAGAACACAGTACCGTACATGCACAGCTCCACGTGCATGTACTGCACTGTGTACAGAACACAGTACCGTACATGCACAGCTCCACGTGCATGTACTGCACTGTGTACAGAACACAGTACCGTACATGCACAGCTCCACGTGCATGTACTGCACTGTGTACAGAACACAGTACAGTACATGCACAGCTCCACGTGCATGTACTGCACTGTGTACAGTACACAGTGCAGTACATGCACAGCTCCACGTGCATGTACTGCACTGTGTACAGTACACAGTACCGTACATGCACAGCTCCACGTGCATGTACTGCACTGTGTACAGTACACAGTACCGTACATGCACAGCTCCACGTGCATGTACTGTACTGTGTACAGAACACAGTACAGTACATGCACAGCTCCACGTGCATGTACTGCACTGTGTACAGAACACAGTACCGTACATGCACAGCTCCACGTGCATGTACTGTACTGTGTACAGAACACAGTACAGTACATGCACAGCTCCACGTGCATGTACGGTACTGTGTACAGAACACAGTACCGTACATGCACAGCTCCACGTGCATGTACTGTACTGTGTACAGAACACAGTACAGTACATGCACAGCTCCACGTGCATGTACGGTACTGTGTACAGTACACAGTGCAGTACATGCACAGCTCCACGTGCATGTACTGCACTGTGTACAGTACACAGTACCGTACATGCACAGCTCCACGTGCATGTACTGCACTGTGTACAGTACACAGTACCGTACATGCACAGCTCCACGTGCATGTACTGTACTGTGTACAGAACACAGTACAGTACATGCACAGCTCCACGTGCATGTACTGCACTGTGTACAGAACACAGTACCGTACATGCACAGCTCCACGTGCATGTACTGTACTGTGTACAGAACACAGTACAGTACATGCACAGCTCCACGTGCATGTACGGTACTGTGTACAGAACACAGTACCGTACATGCACAGCTCCACGTGCATGTACTGTACTGTGTACAGAACACAGTACAGTACATGCACAGCTCCACGTGCATGTACTGTACTGTGTACAGAACACAGTACAGTACATGCACAGCTCCACGTGCATGTACTGCACTGTGTACAGAACACAGTGCAGTACATGCACAGCTCCACGTGCATGTACGGTACTGTGGTATAACTTAGTGTACAGTATACTGTGCTAACCTTATACGTACATGCGGCAGGTCAAAATTCGCGGCACAATTTGCGGTCAATATTAGCACTATTCAAGACGAAATTACGGGGAATTTGCGACAGTTTTTTGGTAAATTTGCAAGTGCATTGGACAATCTACTGGGTTGCCTGCAAGTGCATTGGACAATCTACTGGGTTGCCTGCAAGTGCATTGGACAATCTACTGGGTTGCTTGCAAGTGCATTGGACAATCTACTGGGTTGCCTGCAAGTGCATTGGACAATCTACTGGGTTGCCTGCAAGTGCATTGGACAATCTACTGGGTTGCCTGCAAGTGGATTGGACAATCTACTGGGTTGCCTGCAAGTGCATTGGACAATCTACTGGGTTGCCTGCAAGTGCATTGGACAATCTACTGGGTTGCCTGCAAGTGCATTGGACAATCTACTGGGTTGCCTGCCAGAAAACTATCTACACAGTATTTGTCATAAAGAAGAGAGTTAAGAGAGTTGAGAGAGTTGAGAGAGTGAAAAGGAAATTTACATCATGAAATGCATGCATTTCAGTCCCCAAGGGATGTGCCAGCTACTCAGATGTACAGACTCGGGAGTTTGAAGATTTCGATCAAGTGATGCAATCACCATCTTTCGATGTTTTCATTCAAGAAAACTTCAAAAACCGTGGAAAGTTTGCAGAAATCGCGGATTTATAAGAAATTATCAACATCGCCGACAAATTTGCACCTGTGGAATCGCGATTCCCCCCCCCCCCCCCCCCGGGACAGAATATACAACTATCGTAAAATCCCGCCAGAGCGCCCCGTCTCTCCCATCCGCCCTCCCTGATATATGACTTCTTTTCAGGACTCAGGGAAGTGATTGATTGTATCCTCGTATGACTCTGTGATGCCGTACTGTGCTGCACTCAGTCTGCAGACGCGTGCCCCACCCCGTTTTGACGGGTCTGTGCTACTCCTGGCTCTTGACCTTTGGTCGGTGTACGAGATGAACGAACAGTTTTCGAAGGGGGAGTACTTTTTCATGTAGTACTGAATGCGGTAAGTAGGACTCGCCCGTCCGCCCCTCCCCACCTGAAGCGTCGAGGAGGTAGGGGCGCTCTGGCGGGATTTTACGGTACATGCAGATGGCAAATGTCTCCTAGATGTACACATACTCTCTGCTGAAATGTTCCATATTTGGCCTTTTTGGATCGTACACGGAAATGGGAGTGCATTTCCTGAGTGCTGACTATACCGTATATGTCATATTGTGTTCTGTATACAGTGGAATGACTAGAAATTGTAATAATTGTAAAAATATAGTGTTCCATATACAGTGGAAGTCTGCTAAGAGGTACCCGTCGGAGAGTGGAAGTCTGCTAAGAGGTACCCGTCGGGGAGTGGAAGTCTGCTAAGAGGTACCCGTCGGGGAGTGGCAAAAAGCACTTACTATCCAAGGTAGTTGAGTCCTAGGGCATGATCGATTGGGCGAATCCCGAGCAAGTGTGCTCCGAGTGAGCGTGATCGTTTGGTCGAATCCGATCGAATTCGGGGTAGGTGTACTTGGAGTGGAATCCGACCACACCGGCCCCCACACCAGGAGTGGCCGGAGTGGAAATGGACTTTGCCGTTTTGGACAGCTTTCACAGAATCTTTGTACGATATGCGTACATTTTGCGTACTACACCCTTGTTTTGTTCGATTGGGCCAGCGTTGCTTGGACCACACCGCCTGCTCGCACTCAATCCAGATTCGCCAATCGATGACACCCTTAGATCCTGTGACCCCGCCAATATTATACATTTGAAGTATGCCAAAATGCTCGAAAATATTTACTGTCAAGCAAACCTGTCGTGTCTACACGTGTACGAAAAGTTCACTAAAATAGTACGTGCTATGCGAGGCTAGCTCTGTTGGGACCTGCTGAAAGCTCCGTCATACACGAGTTGTACGTCTTCTCAGAGTACGTCGTATCCGTACACATTTGTACATGTATGTCCGCTTATGGGAGGAAAATCTGTGTACGAGTACGCATGTGACGGAAAAGGACCGTACTAAGCAGTTGTACGTCTTACCAGGGTACGTAGGCCGGCTAGGTGAATTCCACTAAAGATCTACTGTAAAATCCATATAATAACGAAGTGCTAACTCTAACGAGTTAACGAGGAGAAATCCGTCGTTAAAATAGAAATCGTTATACAGAAATCGATACATATACTGTCCTATTGAGCGTTGAGAATGAGTGAGAATCGTTACCTTTGGTACACGTAAACTAGTCAATTTTGGGAAATCGTTATAATTATATGCGCCTCGTTAGAATAATGGCTTTTACAGTAGTCCATATCTGTAGCTGTGTACATATTTCCCCAAATTTAAGGATGTGTCAAGCCTTATATGGATGTTCTTACATGATTGTCTGCTTTATTCTACTTTGCAGTGATAGCAATGAAGACACTAATATTTACCATGACCGCGAATCTCAAGGCTATGGTGCACTGGCGCGAGGATCACGCGAGTTGACGTAAGTTCCCATGACGATAACTACTAGTGTACGATTTTATGTCATGATCCAGATCATGTGCTGTTAACATTATTGTTGTATGTCCAGATCATGTGCTGATAACATGTTGTTATCAGCACATGATCTTGACAATTGGACATACAACAAGTTGTTATATGTCAATATCATGGGTGGTGTTACTCACTGGTATATCGTATGTTCTACTTCAGAAGTAAGATGTTTTGGTACAGTGTAGTCATTGTCTTCATTGTTTTCTCAAATGTTCTATTTTTTCATTGGTTTGACGGAACGTTTGAGGGAAAGTTGCGAATGGGTTGTTTTATTTTTGTGTCTCTTTCTTGTAGGGAGCTCACAGCATCTACCAGACGTAAGTTTGTGTGTGTGTGTGTGTGTGTGTGTGTGTGTGTGTGTGTGTGTGTGTGTGCGTGTGTGTGTGTGTTTGGTGTACATGCGGGCCCTCCCAGCTAGCACATGCACCAGTGGTACTAGGACTGGGCCCTCTCGGCTAGGGACACACTGCTTGCACTGACAAACTTCACACCAGCATGTGACATGATGGGCCTAGCCGACCACCCCGACCACCCTGGTCACCCTGACCACCCCGACCACCCCGACCACCCTGACCACCCTGGTCACCCTGACCACCCTGGTCACCCTGACCACCCTGGTCACCCTGACCACCCTGGTCACCCTGACCACCTTGACCACCCTGGTCACCCTGACCACCCTGGTCACCCTGACCACCCTGACCACCCTGACCACCCTGGTCACCCTGGTCACCCTGACCACCCTGGTCACCCTGACCACCCTGGTCACCCTGACCACCCTGGTCACCCTGACCACCCTGGTCACCCTGACCACCCTGGTCACCCTGACCACCCTGGTCACCCTGACCACCCTGGTCACCCTGACCACCCTGGTCACCCTGACCACCCTGGCCACCCTGACCACCCTCAGTGGCGTAGCCAGGGGGGGTGCTTTGGGTGCCCAAGCACCCCCCTCAAAAATTTCAGGTACCATTTTCGTACTGCTGTGGATCTACGCCCGCCCGCGATCGAGACTCGACGTCGACAAGATCGACGCCACACGACGCTGCGCTGCACGACGGGGCCCGGCCAACTGTATTACACTAGTACTAGTAGCGCATGCAGGTTGCACTTGAGACTGCATGCATGGCTGCACATGCAGTCATGTTCTCGCCGGTGACAGGCGCAGTAGTGCTAAATTATTAATTTTTAGTACAATGTAGTACTACCGGTACTGTAATTTGAACTAGTACTACCGTGGTAGTATAGTTGTGTGTAGATCTTTGCCTTTGAATGTGAGTTTGGTCGTTTTCGGATGCACTGCGCATTGTACAACTACCGGTATATAGACTCGCACTTTGTGTAGCTAGACTTGGTAGAAGTGAAAGAGAAGTGTCAACGTCGTTTTGTGATCCGCAAGTCGAATGGATTCTTATGAAAATGTCGATCTTGAAGTATTTTAGTCGAGGGAAGTCGAAGAGACCAGATACCAGTAGCAGCAGTGCCAGTGCCAATTGTCTGTATTATATTCTGGGTCTAACCACACCCTGTCAATCTCTTACCATCCAACTTCTGTAGCAAAGTACTGTGCGTTTCATACGATTATCTGACTTTTTATTGAATCATTGGTGGAATGGAAAATAATGAAATAGATGCAAAAATGAAGGATTTGGCACTCAATATCGAAAATTTTTCCGGGGGAGGGCCCCCGGACCCCCCCCCCATTTTTCGCGCCCTTCCGGCGCACGCCCACACTTCCAGTAAGCACCCCCCTCAGCCACAATCCTGGCTACGCCCCTGACCCTGGTCACCCTGACCACCCTGGCCACCCTGACCACCCCGACCACCCTGACCACCCTGGTCACCCTGACCACCCTGGCCACCCTGACCACCCTGGTCACCCTGACCACCCTGGCCACCCTGACCACCCTGGCCACCCTGACCACCCTGGTCACCCTGACCACCCTGGTCACCCTGACCACCCTGGCCACCCTGACCACCCTGGTCACCCTGACCACCTTGACCACCCTGGTCACCCTGGTCTCCCTGGTCACCCTGGTCTCCCTGGTCTCCCTGACCACCCTGACCACCCCGACAACCCTGACCACCCTGGTCACCCTGGCTACCCTGGCCAATACTGTACTTGACTGTGGCCAGAGTGGGCAGAGTATGTTCTTGTCAGCCTATAAGTCGTTATTTGTTGACTTCTGACATCATCAGTTTCTAGCCCTGTGCCATGTTGTCTTGTGATGTGTGCATACATGTCATACATTATGTTTTCTTCTCTCTTTTGTGTACATTGATATGCTGATGTTCATTGTAGATGGTTTCGCATATTCAGCACCTGAAAAAGTCAATTTTGGACATCGCCGCTCAGCCGTGGGCGAGGTCAGTGTTTGTCGGTGTGTTTGTTAGTGCTTGTCTGTCTTTGTCTGTCGGTCTTGGATCAGAAGAGTAATTGTAATAGTAGTAGTAGTAATAGTATACAGCTTAGCGTATAACGACACTCGGCGGGCATCAGAAAGTGTCGTTATTCGCGAAGTGTCCTGATACCCGAAGTCTCATTTCATTATATGTACAGTTAGGCGAGACCAAAATAAAATCGAGATTCCCGGGCAGGACCCATGTGAAATTGGTGCGGGCGGGCAAATTTTATGTTTTATTTTTTTCCCATGTATGTACATGACTATAATGTGCATGCCATGTTGAACTTTTTTTACAGCATTTTCCGGTAATTTGTATTCAATTTTTTTACAGACAACAGGTATGCGGTTTTACCCGTTCAACTTTTCTATATTTCGGCCAACGATGGCCCTGATCTGTACATCAGGGAGCCGTACAAGCTCGGGTTTTTGTGACTCCACGTCACAGATCTACTCACACGATCAGTAGCTCAGTACTGTACATGTATGAACTGTTCAAAAAAAAATTGGCTTTGGCTCAATTTTGGTGCGGGAGGGCCCGGGAATCTCTATTTTTTTGGTCTCGCCTTAGATGTGACTTTGCTCTGGGCATGGAAATTCTGTCCTTATCTGCGAATTGTCGTTATATCCGCAGTCGTTCAAGTTATTAGCGAAGTTGACTGTATGTGTGTATGTGCGTATGTGTGTGTTTGTCTGTGTACATGTACATGTGTGTGTGTGTGTGTGTGTGTGTGTGTGTGTGTGTGTGTGTGTGTGTGTGTGTGTGTGTGTGTGTTGTATGTGCTATACCTGCAGAGTGCTAGAATGCGTATGTATGACACTCGTACGGAAAGCACTCGTGCTGACGGCGAGACGAGTACAGTCACAGGTACTAACGATCATGTTGATACGGTGGCGGAGCAGCAGCCGTATTGAATAAGCACACTCAGCATGCTGAGCTCAACTGACAGAACTGACAGTGTACATGGCAACTAACACCTACACAGGATGCTGTGGATATTGAGGATGCTGAGGAGACTGCTGGGGATGCTGACGTGGCTGCTGTGGATGCTGTGGATACTGACGTGGCTGCAGGGCAGGTGTGCATCAGTGTATGTTACTGTGTGTGATCCATAGCTTTCAAGTCTCATCAGGTAAGCCGCACCTTGCGTTGGGTTTCCCTGGTTGAGTTCTAACAGTTACGGGAAGTGGCAGGGAATGGCAGAGAGTGACAGAGAGTGACATGGTTTACATGCACAGCTGTACCGCTCCACAGCAACGTTCAGTAGCATTGAGGATATCACTAGTATCCTGTGGACAATAACAACAACAATAACAGCTGAAGACAGTGCACTGTGTTGAGCAAGTCTTGGCCGTCATCGGGTGGCATTCACTGCTGCTGCTGGTGCTGCTTACGCTGTTTTGTAACACAGAGCTTAGTGAAGCTGAGATTCTATTTTATCCCCCCCCCCCCCCCCCCCCCACACACACACACAAACTACATGTATATTGCTTACATTGTTTTACACGTTTACTGCTATAGAAAGTGAACTATCATCTATCATCTACCCCGTTTCTTCTATCATCTATCATCTACCCCATTTCTGTGTATATGTGTATTGGACGTAGACAACATCACAGGCTGTAAATGCAGCTCTGTGTGTATTTTAGTCATGGTATTAACCACCGTGGTATGAGCGCTGATACTCGTTTTGTTTTGGCTGTCCTTTGCTCTCTGCTCTCTGCTGTTCGGCTGTGCTCCTCTTACCAGCATACTTGCATGTAAATAATGCTGCACTTCCAGTTTTCGGTGTTTTTATTTGACTCTCCAGTTGATAGTATGTATGCGTGATGATCTCTGAGACCAACCATTCGGTTCCCAGGGCCCTGGCTAGGCTGCTACTGCTGCTGCTAGCACTGGGAAATAATACTATTATATATTCTCTGTTATTCCTAGTTTGCTCTCTGCCATTTTGCACTCTTATGCAATCCTGTCCTGGTTTCTTCTGTTGCTGCATGGCCATGTAGATGACTTACATGTGCATATGTGTGCACACATGTGTGTGTATACTATCCAATGCCCTGTATGTGCACATGTGTGTGTATTATCCAATGCCCTGTATCAGCACCGCAGTCTCAGGTTTTAGTACCACCATTCACCTTTGATCATTTATTCTTGTACAAATGCCGTGAATTCTGTTCATGGCGTTCCCTATCACTGTCACCTGCTTACTGATGCTAGTAGCTCTGAATTCCACTACTTCAAGTACTAGTATAGTACGGGACGGTAGTACTCAATCAGTACTATGTCTTTGCAGTCACCATGAGCTAATTGGAGCCCCATCTGAAATTTGAAAATTTTACATCAGATTCTGCCGATTCCGTACGTCGTGCCATTTCCTATACTTCGAAGTACATTTTTCCGTTTTACTGTTTTTCTCTTTTTCTTTCTCAGTACTCGCTGCTATCATGCTGTAGTATTGTTGATGGTCTATTTTTGAAAAGAACTTTTCAATTCACAGTGTTCTGTGTTCACCCTGTTGTCATGGCTACTGTACACTGTGGGTGATGTTTGTTACCAGGGTTACAGCACAAGTGTGACCTCACTGCCAGTGTGAGTGCTTACTGTACTGTGTGTGTGTGTGTATACTGCTACATGTAGTACCGTGTACACTGCTACATGTATTACCAAGAGTATAATATTATTATAACCCCCATGCCCAGGGCTTATACATACTCTTGGTAATACAGTGTACTTGTAGTGGTATTCTGAGTCGGTGCTGGGTGAAAAGCTGTGATGTTTCACACAGCTGTGACAGATTGAGCAAGGGTCCTATATTCACAAGCGTATTCATGTCATTGGCCTTCGCTTCAGTACCCCGTAAAGAGAGATTCCCGTAAAGAGAGATGGCAGTGGCATTGGCGGAGTTTTAATGGATTTACACACCTGGCAAATAAGCGCAATTTTGTCAGTTAGGTGTCGAGTGTTGTGTTAAATTCCATGCCGCATCATGAAGGAAGATGGTCAGTCAAACCAGTCCTCCTGCTTGGTATTGTGTTGTGTTGGGTGATGGTAGAGTCCGGCAAGAGAATAATACAATGTCATCTACACGACTCTACATGACTGTACATGATTATACAATCATGATTTATAAATATAGTACTCTTGATACTGGCAGTGTACGTGCAAGGGAGCCTCAGGAGGCCAGGCCATGTGTGTTCTATAGTGCTTGGCTGCTATATTAGTATATAGCAAGTCTGTCTAGAGTACCAGGTACATGTAGGGGGGGGGGGGGCAGTGAAAAGCCTTGTTCATGGCTTACTGCCCAGCACAAAGTGATACTATTCCATGCCATTTCGGCACCCTCAAGTTCAGCGCCAACCAGCTGAGCGCGACCGTTTCAGCACCGTGAACCCGTAAAGTAAGCGCCGAATTTTACAGCGCCACATACTTCAGCACAGTATACTTCAGCGCCAGCAGATAAGCGCCGAATATCTCAGCGCCACATAAATCAGTGCCATATATGTCAGCGCCAAATATGTCAGTGGACCTTTCTCAGCACCACAGATCTCAGCGCCAATTTATTATAAAATGCATGTATGAACATCGCATGTTATAAGTATGACTGTACAAATATCGACTTCGCGCTGTACTGTATCGCACTGTACTTTATCGCGCTGTACTGTATCGCGCTGTACTGTATCGCGCTGTACTGTATCGCACTGTACTGTACCGCGCTGTACTGTATCACACTGTACTGTATCGCACTGTACTTTATCGCGCTGTACTGTATCGCGCTGTACTGTATCGCGCTGTACTGTATCGCACTGTACTGTACCGCGCTGTACTGTATCGCGCTGTACTGTATCGCGCTGTACTGTATCGCACTGTACTGTACCGCGCTGTACTGTATCACGCTGTACTGTATCGCGCTGTACTGTATCGCTCTGTACTGCACCGCGCTGTACTTGATCGCACTGAACTTCTTCGCGCTGTAAATTACCGCGCCTTTTTCGCGCTGAGTTGCTGGCGCTGTACTTTACCGTGCTGATAGTCATGGCGCTGAAGAAGCTGGCGCTGTGAAATCATGCGCTGAAGTGCTGGCGCTGAAATGTATTGCGCTGAAACGGCAGCGCTGAAATGTATTGCGCTGAGACGGCAGCGCTGAAGTGGCAGCGCTGAAATGTATTGCCCTGAAACGGCAGCGCTGAAATGTATTGCGCTGAAATGTTTTGCGCTGAAACGGCAGCGCTGAAATGTATTGCGCTGAAGTGGCAGCGCTGAAATGTATTGCGCTGAAATGTATTGCGCTGAAATGTATTGCGCTGAAACAGCAGCGCTGAAATGTATTGCGCTGAAACGGCAGCGCTGAAATGTATTGCGCTGAAACGGCAGCGCTGAAATGTATTGCGCTGAAATGGCAGCGCTGAAATGTATTGCGCTGAAATGTATTGCGCTGAAACGGCAGCGCTGAAATGTATTGCGCTGAAACGGCAGCGCTGAAATGTATTGCGCTGAAACGGCAGCGCTGAAATGTATTGCGCTGAAATGTTTTGCGCTGAAACGGCAGCGCTGAAATGTATTGCGCTGAAACGGCAGCGCTGAAATGTATTGCGCTGAAACGGCAGCGCTGAAATGTATTGCGCTGAACCGGCAGCGCTGAAATGTATTGCGCTGAAACGGCAGCGCTGAAATGTATTGCGCTGAAATGGCAGCGCTGAAATGTATTGCGCTGAAACGGCAGCGCTGAAATGTATTGCGCTGAAATGTATTGCGCTGAAACGGCAGCGCTGAAATGTATTGCGCTGAAACGGCAGCGCTGAAATGTATTGCGCTGAAACGGCAGCGCTGAAATGTATTGCGCTGAAACGGCAGCGCTGAAATGTATTGCGCTGAAACGGCAGCGCTGAAATGTATTGCGCTGAAATGTTTTGCGCTGAAATGTATTGCGCTGAAACGGCAGCGCTGAAATGTATTGCGCTGAAACGGCAGCGCTGAAATGTATTGCGCTGAAACGGCAGCGCTGAAATGTATTGCGCTGAAACGGCAGCGCTGAAATGTATTGCGCTGAAACGGCAGCGCTGAAATGTATTGCGCTGAAATGGCAGCGCTGAAATGTATTGCGCTGAAACGGCAAATCACCAGTTATATACTAGTAATCTATGTGTCCTGCATCAACTCGTGATCCACTGCCTCAACTCGTGATCCACTGCCTCAACTCGTGATCCACTGCCTCAACTCGTGATCCACTGCCTCAACTCGTGATCCACTGCCTCAACTCGTGATCCACTGCCTCAACTCGTGATCCACTGCCTCAACTCGTGATCCACTGTCTCAACTCGTGATCCACTGCCTCAACTCGTGATCCACTGCCTCAACTCGTGATCCACTGCCTCAACTCGTGATCCACTGCCTCAACTCGTGATCCACTGCCTCAACTCGTGATCCACTGTCTCAACTCGTGATCCACTGCCTCAACTCGTGATCCACTGCCTCAACTCGTGATCCACTGTCTCAACTCGTGATCCACTGCCTCAACTCGTGATCCACTGCCTCAACTCGTGATCCACTGCCTCAACTCGTGATCCACTGCCTCAACTCGTGATCCACTGCCTCAACTCGTGATCAGCATGCAGAAAAGATAACAAGCAGTGAACCATGTGATCGTGAGGGCACTTGGTGACAAACACTGTAGCACGATTCCCTGCTGCATCTGGGCAAACAGGTTTGCAAACGGAACATACTGTAAACCGGGTAATTTTAGCGACGGTGATATTTTAGCGATTTTAGCGAAAGGAGTGTATTCGTTAAGTTTTGCCACACCAATCAGAAAACGCTAAAAGTTTACACGCTAATATTAGCCGTTCTACAGTATTCCGAAAAAAGACAACGACATGACTTGCTGGCCACACAGGAGGCACAACCAGTTCTTGCCGAGAAGCAGCAGCAGCAGCAACACTTCTATTCTTCAATCTGTGTGAACACGCATGGCTGCAACTGCTCAGATCACGTTGCTGTCCACTGTACTCGTAAAGCATCGTGTTGCGAAAACACCAGAAGTCATAGGGAAAACCATCAGAACTATCTCTGCAAAAACTAAAAACACAACTGCGCACTAAACACAACTACATGCTCTAATTTGAAGATAAACAAACTTTGAAAGTAACACAGAATGTAAAGTGCCATGTACTTAGAAGTAGATCAAAGATGGTCTGGCTTTGTTGATGGCGTTGAAAGAAAATCAGTTGAACCCCACTGGAGACAGACATACCATGGTCCAGTAGTACATGTGACACCAAAAAATGTGATCAACGCTAGCCTACTGAAGTAAATAATACAGAACCGCCACCAGATAACGGCCACCAGTTCATAAAAGAAGTTAAAAAGACAGTGACTGGGCAGCAGGAACTGCTACACCCCACAACAGAGAAGAAGAAGAAAGATACACTGGCCACTTGCCTTGATGCATGTACACTGAAATGAAATAAGGTTTATGGTTCACATGGAGAGCACACAGCATTATGTATTCAAGTAATTCGATACTTTTTTTCATGCTCTATAAAAACAAGATTTGTACTGGCATTGGAGCACTATAGCAGGTTGCCTCAGAGATTTTGTTCTATGATGAGTTTGTATCATGAGCTCAGTAAAATATCGTGAAATGGTACTGTGGTACACACTGCAATGTGCAATGGAGTATATTGTAGTTTGAAATCAAATATAGAAATAAAGGTGTTGCATCGACAAAACTGACGGGGTGGGTTGGCCCAGCGAGAGTGAAGCACTGAAGGGCTAGGTCTAAGCATCTTCTAACTTGTAAACATCGTGACGCTTCTGCTGACGTGTTGGAATGGAAGCACGCACATTATCCACAGCATTGAAATCTACACAACAACAGCAGCAGCAGCAGCAGCAGCAACAGCAGCAACAGCAGCAGTATTACGGCTGGGAGGCAATGGGGTAGGCCAGCTTGTTAGGCATAACGTAACGATATCCTTGTCACATACTTTGCCAACAATCTCTCCTACTTGTATGTCCACTCGTGCAATTTTCCATACAAGTAAACAAAACTGAGAGCTGACAACCAGTGCAGCAGCCATTACTACACACCGTGACCTGCTTGTAAGAAAACAAGACGCCAAAGACTAGCAAACAAACAAGACCCCCTCCCCCCCCCCAACAAACAACAAGACTCCCCTAACAAACAAACAAACAAACAAACAACAAGACTCCCCTAACAAACAAACAAACAAACAAGCAAGACCCAAAGAGGGCAAAGACCTACTAACACAACTGCTAGCAGCATAGATGGAGCAGCGCAGACTGAAAAGCATACTTCAGTAGATCAAACAGCATACGAGAAGACGGAGTAGCACAGGGTTTTGAACTTTTTAATTCTTTACGGTGGGCAGGGAGTAGTTTAGGTTTTTGGGGTTCCCACCCCGCCGCCTTCAAAAGCCCTCAAATGGAGTCGGAACACATCAATTTCAGTTCCTTGACGGATGATGACCTGGAGGAACTTGCTAGGAAAAACCATGTCGGGCAAGACCACTGATGAACGACAAGAGTCGGAGACTCAGAATGCGCTATCACTCCTGTCCACGCTAGTAGAGACGGTAAAGGCTAAGCAAGTCGAAGAATTGAAGAGTGTGATTGTGATTGTGATTCAGGCTGAAGGTAAAAATTCCGCCTTTGCTGCCCTGCAAGAGAAGGTCTGCACCTTGGAAAGCCGCAATCAAAAGTTGTTCAGTGTACAAATCGTGTATCGGTCCGACCTTCGTACACAGCTGTCACAGCAGCACGTATCAAGCACACACAGGACTGGTACTCATTCTAACAGCCAACAAACTGCCAGATCCCACCCCCCACGGACAACAACTCTGAAAGGCCTCTGGCTTCTGAGGGATCAACCAAGGAAAATGAAAAAAGATCAGCAAACACCAACTGGGAGTAGCCAAAGCAACGTCACACCTTCCGCACTGGAGTCAGTGGAGAATCAACAAAGAGAACTGTCACATCTCTCTATGAGAAGCCATGCCAAACATCACGACGTTGGATACCATGTGCAGTTCAGACAGGCCAAGACTCAAAGTATTCTTCCTTGGGAATGTAAACCCCGGATGCCATGCCAAATCCATAGCAACTTGGTGCACCGAGCAAGGAGTGGAGACGTACAGATGCAGTGTGGCCGAATCCAGAGCGTTTGAGACAGCGTATGCCCGTCTAGTGATTCCGGAGGCAGCAGGCTCCAAAGTCGAACAAAGTGGGTTCTGACTAGATACGATCAGTGTGAGACCCTGGAGATTTCGCTAGAGATTTCGCACGGACAGCTATGGCTGGAGCGACCAGGACACAGCATCAGCATGAGTGCATCTTTGCTAAATCCTTCCTCCCCTTTGCGCCCAAGCACCCTTTGCAGCACCTTACATCCCACGGACAACTCAGGAATTTAAAGTTGGACATATCAATATGTGCAGCTTGCGGCACAAAGTCTTCGTTCTGGAAGGCATACTACATAAGTATGATCTTGATGTAATGGCAGTCACAGAGACATGGCTTGACTCGGATGTGGCTGATGTAATGGCAGTCACAGAGACATGGCTTGACTCGGATGTGGCTGATGTAATGGCAGTCACGGAGACATGGCTTGACTCGGATGTGGCTGATGTAATGGCAGTCACAGAGGCATGGCTTGACTCGGATGTGGCTGATGTAATGGCAGTCACAGAGACATGGCTTGACTCGGATGTGGCTGATGTAATGGCAGTCACGGAGACATGGCTTGACTCGGATAATCTTGATGTAATGGCAGTCACAGAGACATGGCTTGACTCGGATGTGACTGATGTAATGGCAGTCACAGAGACATGGCTTGACTCGGATGTGGCTGATGTAATGGCAGTCACAGAGACATGGCTTGACTCGGATGTGGCTGATGTAATGGCAGTCACGGAGACATGGCTTGACTCGGATGTGGCTGATGTAATGGCAGTCACGGAGACATGGCTTGACTCGGATAATCTTGATGTAATGGCAGTCACAGAGACATGGCTTGACTCGGATGTGACTGATGTAATGGCAGTCACAGAGACATGGCTTGACTCGGATGTGGCTGATGTAATGGCAGTCACAGAGACATGGCTTGACTCGGATGTGGCTGATGTAATGGCAGTCACGGAGACATGGTTTGACTCGGATGTGGCTGATGTAATGGCAGTCACAGAGACATGGCTTGACTCGGATGTGGCTGATGTAATGGCAGTCACGGAGACATGGCTTGACTCGGATAATCTTGATGTAATGGCAGTCACGGAGACATGGCTTGACTCGGATAATCTTGATGTAATGGCAGTCACGGAGACATGGCTTGACTCGGATGTGGCTGATGTAATGGCAGTCACGGAGACATGGCTTGACTCGGATGTGGCTGATGCAGAAGTGGCAGTGCAGGACTACACGGTGTACCGCAGGGATCGTCCCTGCAAGAACACCTGTAGATGTAAGAAAGGGAAGGAAGACATGCAAAAATGTGGCGGCATTGTCATGTACACTAAATCACAACTTGCTTTCAAGGCTGAGCGGTACCTTGACGCTGACTTGGAGGCCATATGGATGTGCGCTCCTCAGACGTTGAGCAGCAATAACTAAAATTGGATGCATGTATCGGCCCCCAGCTGAGAGTTCTAACTACTGGAACTGCCTAGCACTGATCGTGGCTCAGCTGCAAGATGACGACCTGGTTCTCTTGGGACACCTAAATGTAGACTTCAACTGCCAGCACACATCTCAGCTCCAGAACATGAAAGATAATAGTCTCCTCCCTCTGAACTTCAGCAATGTTATATCCCAGCCTACCCGCGTCACAGCTACTACAGCTTCGTCTATTGACTGTATTCTCACCAGCATGCAAGAAGTAGTGGCCGGAAAGACCTATCCCTGTGGATTTACAGACCATGACTTTATACGTGCCTCCATGTTGCTGCAACGGGCATCTACCCACAAGTACTACCTGAGCCAATCCCCTCAGCCAATCCCCTCAGCCAATCCCCTCAGCCAGACGCAATTTTCCTAAGACCAACATCAACCAGTTCAGACAACTTGGAAGTAATGGCTCTCTCTCTCTCTCTCTATGTTCTCAGCAGTGGATGTGGACGGCATGGTGGACGAATGGCTAGACAAATTCAATGCAGTACTTGGCATAGATACGCCGTATTGCACAGTTCAACAGTATGTTGGCAAGGCACGTGGTAGGAAATGCCCATTCATGATGCCAGATCTTTTACAGCTGATTCGCCAGAGAAAGGCCGCATATCGCAAGTATTGTGAACATGGAAACAAGCACCCAGAGTTGTACAACGTACTCACTAGACTGCGAACGAGATCCACCAATCTGTATCGCTTTTACAAAAACAACTATCTTCGCCATCAATGTGATAACTACAGATATGCAGCTCTGGGCCACAGTTAACCATGTCATGAAGCGTACCGAGCACCGTGACTGTTGCACGGCTATGGTGGATTCAGCTAGCCTCAATAGCTATTTTCATAGCATTGTGAATGGCCCTTCTGCATCATATGACTTTCCTCTTGGGCCAGGTCCCAAGTTGGCTGTCACATCCTTTTCTGCTGTCTCAGAAGAATCAGTTGCTGGCCTGCTCAAGTCATTAAAACCAGGAAAAGAATGTGGACCAGATGGCTTGTTGCCTGGTTTGTTGCGTTCACTAGCTGATCCTCGGGCACAATCTATTACAATGGCTTTCAATGCCTCCCTGTGTACGTCCTCCACTTTCCCATGCAAATTCAAGCTGGCACATATCACGCCCATCTTAACCTTTTACTGTCCGATTAAAATGTATACAAGCCCACGGAACCACAAAATCTGAAACTAGAATTAGACGTAACTTTGGTTTGAATTTGACAATTTCCACAATCTTGGGCATCCTGGAAAGGTCTTGACGAGACGAACGCAATGAGCCCACACTCGGCGCCACAGGATGCACTGGTCCAGCGCTGCAAGCCAGGGAACGCGCACCAGCGCTGAGCTCACGCTCGAGATCGATTTCAATCCACCATGTCACCCCTGTTGCTCGTATCGAGCTCAAATATTTTCGTAGAGACTCCCGGGAACCTACTTTTGAATTTGAATCGGTGTAGCCTTGCCAACAGGTGACGTAAACAGGGAAAATCCCAGCCGTCGACATGCGCGTCGCGCTCTGAACTCACATTTCCCGGGACCAGAATTACGAGTGCGATAACTCCACAACCGCTCTTCGTATCGCTTCGGGAATTGTTCGAGACGACAGCTGAGACCTTTCTCTTCGACCTACATATTTCGATCTCTCCAAAAGACCTAGATTTGAGCAAGTTACGATAATTTCAAAATGCCTACCCCATCGATCCCATTGGGTCGATGCTTGTATGTACGGACAGTAAAGGGTTAAAGTCCAAGCAAGGTGACCCACACTCTCCAAGCAATGATAGACCGGCTTCGCTCACCTCAGTCCTGAGCAAATTGTTACAGAAGGTTGTACGACGCCAAATTTCTACTCAACTCACTGACTCGAAGGTCCTTCATGACCATCAGTTTGGGTTTAGGTCCTGTCGCTCAACAGCACAACTCCTGACCTTGGCCATAAAATTTATAAATGATTGGATTTCGTCTCGTGACAGTGGCAACACCACAGCAATTGCTTTCGTAGATCTAAGCAAAACGTTCGACCGGGTGCTCCATCAACAACAACTGCTGCATAGTCCACACCACCTTGGAATCACTGGTTCAGCATGGGAGTCTCTCGCACTACAAGTACAGCAATGCAGTAGTACTACTGTGTGTGAAATCTGATCCAACGTGCAAAGTATTAGTTGCCCTCCCAGAACCACTTCTTGACTACATGTATCCTTCAAGTACATACTATACTGACCACCTGCAATACTGACCTGC